TTCAATAAATCTACCTTTGACTTTCTCACATTCTTTCATATAATGCTCCAGATTGTCTCTCCCTCTACCACACCATACCTAACTCCTTCTACTTTCTTCTAGCCAGTACTTGTTGTTCTTTTCTAAATTTCTACACCTTAAGTTTATCAAGGCCCTCACTTCATCCTCTCTACTCCATTTCTTCAGATTTTCTTGTTTAAGATATGCCGGGATCCCGCAGTCTAAACTTATTTCCTTGTATTTCTTATTATATCTAGCTCTCATAATTCTGTTATCTTCCTACTGTCTTTGTATCTTCCTTTCTCTATTAATTAATCCTTCGAAACTATCCTCTCCCATTTTCACTTCTCTCGCTTCTATATCCCATCCTATTTCATTATAATACCTTTCCCTCTCCCTGCCGTATGTATAGTTCCATAAGCTCTTTCTCTTCCCAGCATACCCTCACTAGGTTCTCTACTCTCCCTTACCTAACGTTTCCTCATATCCCTTTGCCCTAATATCCCACCGTACCCTTAACTTATCCATAGCTTATAATTTTCTCTCCTCCCAGCTCAAATCATTCTCTATGAAGACCTTATCTCTCTTAAGTTTATGTTTATTACCCATAATTGCTTTATCTTCTTCACTTTCTATTCTTACCTCTAGTACCCTTCCACTCTCTCTGATTACCACTATGTTACAGTCCACCTCTAATTTGTCTTTTACCCATTCTTTTACGCCATCCTCTTTCTGCATATTTTCCTTTACCTTAATTTCCTTACCTATATCTAATCCCTTGATTAAAAAATTTTTCCTCCTTTCCTCTCTTTCACTATTTGTCACCCATCTCTTTAGAACACTCACCTTTCTGTTGCTTAAACTCCCTTCATTGTAAATTGACCCTGCCCCTGTATATGTACTGTACCCTCCCCTCTCACTTATTATGCTTCTAGTTTTTCCTAACTCATTATCCCCTTTCCTACTGCTACTTACAATCTTTTCTTTAACCTTACCTTCTAGCTACTCACCTCTAATCCTTTACATTTTTCCTCCAAACCCTTAAGCCTACCACTGCCTCTTCCATTTATTTTGACTAAAACTTTTCTCTAAAACTTTTCTCTTTCAATCTTTTACTCTCCCTTTCCATACAGTCATATAATTCTCTCTTTGTTTCCCTGACCTTCTCTTCTAACCAATCTCTCATCTCTTTCTTCCAGTTATCTATTTCCTTTCCGCATATCTCCTTAATTCCTCCTTAAATCTTATCTCTTTTTCTCTCTTCTTTGTATCAATAAATCCCTATTCTTTTTACCTCCATTATTTTCCTTTGGCCTATTTTCTGCCTTTTTCTCTCTACCTGTCCCGCTGCCGACCGCGCCGGCTTGTTCTCTTGTTATCATAATCTCTTTGATCGTCCGCCAAGTTCACCCGCTTAATTTCCACTATTTATAGTTCGTCTACCTCTGCCTTCAATCTCACCTTCGTCACACCCTAAGTATAATCACCCTCTCTCTCACGCACTTTAACTTAATCACCCTCTTTTATCACGTCAAACGCCTCAATTACCTATCTATCTCTTTTGAATTACGTACCGCTCTATAATCGCATCCACATTCACTCACGCCACCTAATCGAGAGTCTCCCTATACAATTATATATAAAATATGTCCAGTTATGTACAAATATATAAAATTATATATATTTTTATATAATTTTATACTGTTACGTCCGGACTCCACAGTTCTTTTCTTCGACTAAAAACTTTCGTCATCACCATAAAAATTATTAACAAGTAATACCGATAGACCATCTGTTACAATAGCGACGAGCCGAATAACATTTACCTTTTGAAACTAATAATCCATTCGGGATCAGTGTGATGAGCGGGGGAGGGGGTGGGTTGGGCCGGGTGCAGCAGGACATCCCAATACAGGGTTGCTGGGAGCACTTCGCGTGGGCTAGGCTGGTGTAACCACGCCTTTGCACATACCTGCAAAAAGGCGGGGTAGGTTAGGTTAGGCTAGCGGCTGCGAAGCAGCCGCAATCGCCTCCTCTATTCGCCTCGGATCTTCTGCCTCAGCTGTCGTCTTCAACGCCTTGGTAGGGCAGGCAGCGGGTACATCCTCGGGTCCGACCAAGAAGTGACACTCAAACACCACGTAGACGTCTCGTGATGGTGCAGATTTATCGATGCATTCGACGTCAAGTGCAAATATGGGGTGGCTACCAGCTGTATCAGTAGTAAACCAGGGACAATTGACTCGCAGGACACCCTTCGTCGGCACAACACCACAGCAAATCAAGCCTGATGTAGCTATCTCGCTCCTGTCGGAATTAGGCCCGTAGCCGCGCACTTGGACGATGATCGGACCGTTGGTTGCCACTTGATAGCGACAAAACAACGGCTTAAACGGTCGATCACGGTTGAATTCCAGATGGTCGCGTGACATCCAAGTTGAACTCCCCTTAGTCAACCTGACTGACAGCCACTCGACCTAACGGGAGATCTTCCCAGAACCGCCTCGCCGTCCACTGCGCTTACCTGCACGTCTTCTAGGGGCCATCCTCGCTTGTCCAAGACTCGGACGCAACTGAGGCGCGCGCGCGTGTGTGTGTGTGTGTGTGTGTGTGTGTGTGTGTATATGTACTCGTATAAGAGAACCATCCGCTATAATTTATACTAAATTATAGTGCCGCGTCGAACCGTCCTTACAAGGGGTGGCTTCGAAGCCGGGTCTACCGGGTCTAGGCACGAAGACTCTTGGACGAGGAGTTCAAGAAATACCCCGGGTGTTCACTAGAACAGGGTCGTCCGGCCGAGGATCACTCACCACCACCTCCATCCTCGTCACCACCGGCTCCGCCGGCTAATCAGTCTGAGGTTATACCTCCTTCCCCTCAAACACCTTCACCTCTCCCGCAACCTCCTTCGTCTCCCCCTCGATCTCTGTCACCCGCGTTCTCGGACGCACTGACCGAGAGAATCTTTCCCGATACTCCTCCACAATCATCCGATTCATCGATCCCAATTTCCCCCAGAAAAAGTCCGTCCCCGACGAACTCCACGGACAGCGTGGAGTTCTTAGAGGAAATCCCTCCACCCCCATCTAGATCCTACTTCCGCATTCTAGAGAGTGACACTTTCGAGTCACTCATCACCCAATTTCCGCGGATTACTACCGCATCCATCCCTCGGGGGGCCTATACAAACGGCCCTCATTATTTTGATCCTGCAGAAATCCGAAACGCCATCACCGGCCAAACCTCAACATCCAGTATCCCAGTATTCCTCCCGAATTCCGCCAATGCATTCCTAGTTCCAGTGGGATTCTTTTATAATCTTTTCCCTCCTTCCTCCGTTTCCATCCACGAAATAGATTGATCAAATCCCATCCGACTCTCCCGACTACTCGATATACATACATAAAGCGTATGCCCGTTACCGAATAGACAATAGCGGTATTTATGTAATAGGTTAAAATGTATAGAGTAATTATAATAAATCCGCCGATTGTTTATTAACCGTCTGTTATTAGCGTCATTTTGATAAGCAACAATAAAAATGAATAATGTTAGTAAATATAATACATAAAAAATAAATAATGTTAGCAATTATTCTTCTCACTTATGAAACCCTCCATTAAACCCTGTATTAAAACCTTGCCCTAACAAGCTCACACGTGGTCCATTCCTGAGTTAAAGGGATTTCCCTGACTCGAAATTCGGACCGACGATCGCACCGCTCGTAGGAAACAGATGTCAGCGTCTTTACGAGACGTTGACCCTTATTCCGAAGCGAGCAATAAAAAGGGTGCGTTCGCAGTGTTTGCTTCCGGGCAGATATCTGCGAGACAAGAGTCTGACCGTCCTTCCACACTCCATCTTTTTTACTCCCTTCTCTCTTTAAATCCATTTTTCCGGAATTTGGACGTAACAATACAATTATACAATACATAAAACATTTTTTCCCGGAATCTTAATAAAAATATACTCATTTGACACGTTTTCACTCAAAATGAAAGAATTTGGCAGAAAAACGTGACGGCCTCTTGAATCCTTACTATCTTACAATTTATCTATTTTCTAAGTAAACATTTAAAAATATAGCAAAACTAAAATAATCCAATATAAAACAATTTGCAATATGAAACATGTAATTCATTATTAACAATAGCATGGTTTATTGTGTACACATCTTTTGTACACGATGAACCACTTTCCGTTTTTTTTAAATAATCGAAATTGTGGCTGAACTTAAAAAATAACTTAAGGGGATCCTAAAGCCATCTGTATTACCGACTAAATCATATAATTTTTGTATAACAAATATTTTTTTTCTTTTTCACAGATTCAAAAATTCTTTTCCAGGATTAAATTATACGCATTAATACATGTTCATGAGGTGGAGTTTATGCCAAAAATGACAAAAAATTTTGAAATTGATATATTTTTACTATTTCTTCGTGTAATATGGCGTCCTAAGTCGTGACAATATTTACTTGATACGAAAGTTTTGCAATCCGTACTTACGAAATAGTAATTCACAAACACGTAGTTTGCGTGAACAAATAATGTCGAGAAATTCTTAGAATTAGACTTAAACGTTTTATCACGAATTTATTACACGAAAATTGACATGAACGTACGACTGCGTGTATCATAGGTTGTGTGAGATATTGATGTGATTGTGTATAAAGACATGTCGTTGCGCTGGAAAAACAGCGACATTTGGTAACTTCGTCGGAGTTAAAGTTTTTAAAATTTGCAAAATTACACGTATATATTTGTAGCATGTAGCAGATACTTGTATCAAAACGAATATACATATTGCCCACAATTCCTCGGATATCCGTATCGCACACGGTTCTATGAGTATTCGCATCGTACACGATTCTGCGGGTATCCGAATTAGCGGGTACCCACCGAACTGGTCCAGATCCGCACGGATAACGGAGTGAGAGAGCTGGTACTTGGATATTTCGAACTCTAATAAATACTTTGCCATAACTCTTTTTTAGACTGTAAAAGCTTTTCTTCCAACGATGCTGGAAAACAATAAAGGACATATCGTGAGCGTGGCCAGTTTAGCCGGTCAATGCGGGATTCCAAAATTGATAGACTATTGTGCATCTAAATTTGCGGCAATCGGATTTGATGAAGCTCTTCGAATGGAACTTGAGGTAACTATAATTTATTGAACAAGTTATTCAATAACTTATTCTAACATTGTCTTAATTAATTCAATTTTTTTTTATTAAAAAAAAGATATTTTAAATGCAACTATCACAAAAATAAAAAGAGAGAAAAAAAATGACAAAAAAATATAACATAAATTAATTTTTAGTAGACATTTTTTATATAGGGTTATTGTATAAATGGCCATCCCTTTTTATCTTGTAAACTAACAGAAATACTTAGATAATGATAGATAATAAATGTGAATAAAAATTAGTAGAAGCCTTTAAAAGCCAATACAAGTTATATACGAGTATGTGTATATAAATATTCTTTATTATATTCAATCAACGCAAACATATATATATGTATACTGTTATATCCGCAACGAGTGGTTTCACGAACTCTCACTCGCGCACGCAGTCGCGCTCACGGCAATAAATGAGACACTCGTATTCCAAAAGAATTTCTTCTTCTTCTTCTGAGTTAATGGCGCTTGCCGATGAAACGGTAATTCCCGCCACCATCAAAGTTGGAGAAATGCTTCTGAAAAGTTCAAGTCATTTGTTGGAAGACCAAAGCCCCTCTGGCCTCCATGTGTCTAATTGCGAAATACAAATTAAATATTGAGTTTGAATGACTTGAGATAGGCGATTATCAATGGGCACAACGTAAGTGAGGGGAATATTTATCATACAGTATCAATAGGAGATGTAGGGAATTGTTTTTTGAGGTATGCACGAAGTTTGTGGGATTTGACTGTGCATAATCTACAATAGAAGATGTGTGGTTTATGTCCTGTCTTGGGTCGCCACAAGGGCACTCCGGAGAGTTATAGGTTACGTTTACACTGTGCATTTAAACCGCGGCCTATATCCCAAATTCGATCTAAATTATTTAAGTTCCTCGCTGTAAACACTTGACAATGGGATTTGATGAAGCTCTTCGAGTGGAACTTGAGGTAATTTATTAAACAAGTTATTCAATAGATTATTCTAATATTATCTTAATTAATTCAGCTTTTTCTCATTCAAAAAAAGATATTTTAAATATAACTATCTGTTGGAAATGTTTCATGCGTGTCTCCCGCCTTTCGGAGAAAAGCGAGAGATCTTATTGGGCACTCGCGCCGGAGCGAGCGGGAGAGTGTGTGAGGGAAAAAGAACGAACAGCTAGAGACCGCGCGATCGGTGGGTAAGCAGTTGTCGTCCGTGAGCGTCTGTCTCTGTGCAGTTGTCGAGCTGAGTACATGTGCACTAGAACGTGACAACAAGATTGTTAAAAGAGAAGGGAAATAAAGAAAGTATTTTGATAAGATTGTTCTTCTTTCACAATCGTGATCCTATCTGCTGTGTCAATAGGTTATGGGCCCAGACACCCGATAACCGCGCAGATTGTGCGAAGAAATCGTAATAACTCTAAAAGTGCAGTACGCGGGACGAAAGGTCGAGACGCGGCAGCCGTATTGTTCGATCGTTTAATCGGTGAATAAGAGAGTAGCCGTGAGGCGAGAACGAATCGAAGATGTCCGACGCGATCTCTACGAAGAACGTCACAAAATTCAACGGCGACGATTACCAGACGTGGAAGTTCCAGATGAAGATGCTGTTCATCGCAAACCGCATATTCGACGTGGTCGATGGGACGCGGGAAAAGCCGGCAAATGAGGCCCCGGCAGAGGATCGAGCTACGTGGATGGCTGACGATGCGCGCGCGAGTTTCCTGCTGGCTTCCACGCTTGAGCCGGAACAGTTGCGACCGCTATTAACGTGTGGTTCCGCGAGTGAAATGTGGCGTAGATTGGCCAGTGTGCACGAACAAAAGTCGGCATCGAACAAACTTTTGCTAATGACGAGACTTTACGAGTACAAAATGGCACCGGAGGACTCGATGATGCAGCACATCGCGAAGGTGCAAAACATGGCGGCGCAATTGATTGATCTCGGTGAGTCTGTGTCAAACAGCACGATCATGGCGAAAATTCTTGGGAGTTTAACCACGAAATACGCGATTTTTCAAACCGCATGGGACAATGTGCCGGTGGATTCGCAGAATCTTGAAAATCTGCAAGAAAGACTTTTACGTGAAGAGGCACGATTGTCGGCGAACGACGAAGCTCCTGGAGCATTTTTGGCGACAAGAAAATCGGGCACAAATAAAAATGAAAAGGAGAGTTCGCACGACGCGAAAAAGAAGCGAGGTGTGCGGGATAAAACAAAAATAAAATGTTTCAAGTGCCACGAACTCGGACATTACGCGCGTGAGTGCCGAAATAAAAGAAGGGAAAACAGCGACAGCGATGTGAGCCGGTCACGTGATTGCGCCTTTGTCGTCGAGCAAACGTGGTCGAGAAGCCCAAACAAAGTCGTCAAAAACGGAAGTTATGAAATTCCAAACTATATAGTGGAATCTGTGCTTCGAGCCAACAAAAGCGAATCCTGGATTACCGACAGTGGCGCGTCACGTCATATTACATATAGGCGCGAATGGTTCAGCGAGTATCACGATCTTGCAGACGGCGGCTCGGTGTCTCTTGGAGACAATAAACAGTCCAAGGTCGTGGGCGAAGGGACGATTGCGATCGAGAGATACGTCGGTGGTGTCTGGAGTTCGTCGCGCATTGAGAAAGTCCTATACATTCCCGACATGAAAAAAAATTTATTTTCAGTCGGCGTGTGCACCTCTCGAGGTTACGAAGTGTCGTTCTCGGGTAAACAAGTGCTGATCAAAGACAATGTAGACATCATCGCATATGGAATTAAACAGGAGAACCAGATCTATAGGATGCTATTTCGAGTAAAGTGTGCAGCAGAATTCAATGAGGCGAATGTGGCGAGGACGAACTTCTCGATTTGGCACGAGAGATTTGGTCATCTGAACGGGCGAGCGCTACGCGAGCTGGTCGAAAAGGGACTAGTTGAAGGGGTCGAATTACCGAAGACCGGTGAGATATTTTGCGAGGATTGTCAAATAGGTAAATCGCATCGTAAAATGTTCAAAAAGGAACGTATGCGCGAAAATACTGTACCGGGCGAAGTGGTACACACGGACGTGTGTGGGCCAATGCCCGTTGAGTCACTGGGTGGTTCGCGTTTTCTGCTCACGTTCAAAGATGATGCCACGAGCTTCCGGTATATTTATTTCCTGCGTCATAAGAGCGACGTACTCGGGAAATTTAAAATATTTGACAAGCTGATCGAGAACAAATTCGGGAGAACGATGCGCGTTCTTAGATCCGATAATGGGCGCGAGTTTAAAAATAAAGAAATGAAAAATTATCTCGATTCGCGCGGAATTCAGCGAGAGTATACGGCACCGTATACGCCCGAACAGAACGGGAAAGCGGAACGCGATAACCGCACACTGATTGAAAGCGCGAGAACAATGTTGCATGCAAAAGGATTGCCGAATAAATTATGGGCCGAGGCGTGCAGCACGGCTATTTATTTAATGAACCGAGCAGGTACGTCGAGCGTGAGAAACGGTGCGACACCGTACGAAAGGTGGATCGGTCGGAAGCCTAACATGAGTCACTTGCGTATATTCGGGTCTGAAGCGTTTGTAAATATCCCGAAACAGAAAACGACGAAATTCGATGCTCGAGCGAAGAAAATGATACTTGTCGGCTACGATTCAAATTCTTCGAATTACCGCGTGTACGATCCGGCGACAAAAATGGTTTCAGTTACACGTGATGTTGTTTTTAACGAGAAAAACGAAAAAATTACGCTCTCGGTGAATAGAGAGTCGGACGACGAAATAGTCCTACCAAAGGTGGAAGCGAAGGCTGCTCCAGTACGCGAAAAGGACAACGATCAAGACAGTGACGAAGAGGTGGTGTTCTTGCCGGCCAACGAAAACGCAGAAAATGGTTCGCCAGGATTTGCTGTGCAAGCACCAGGCGAGACTGTACGAAAGTTACGCGATCGAGAATCCTTGAAGCGACCGTTGCGATACGAATTGAACGTGGCTGAATACGAAATTCCGGGAACATTTGAGGAGGCGATGCGCAGTGACGACGCTCACAAATGGATCAAGGCGATCAGTAAGGAACTGAGTGCTCTCGACGAGAATAAAACGTGGACGCTAGTCGAAAGGAAGCCGGAAATGAAAACAGTCGATTCGAAGTGGGTTTTCAAGGTCGTGAAGAACACGGGAGGCGATGTTGTCAAGTTCAAGGCACGTCTCTGCGCACGAGGCTTTATGCAACGGAAAGGAGTCGACTTCACTGAAACATTCGCCCCGGTTGTGCGTTACGACTCACTGAGAGTATTGTTGGCCGTCGTCGCGGAGAAGGATCTCGAGTTAACACAGTTCGATGTGCAGACAGCATTTCTGTACGGGAAACTGGACGAAGAAGTTTTCATGGAAGTACCGGAAGGATTGACAGTGAAACGAAGTGCCGCGAAAAGTGTCGTTTGTCACTTACAAAAATCTCTGTATGGTCTCAAACAGGCACCTCGGTGTTGGAACCGCGAGTTCCGTGCGTTCTTGAGACAGTTCGAGTTTCATGAGACTGACGCGGACAAATGTATATTCGTCGGTAAGGTAGAAAGATCGGTTGTGTATTTGGCATTATTTGTAGACGACGGTTTGCTTGCCGCAGAATCGAGAGATGCTTTGGAGTGCGTGCTCAGGCATCTCAACGATTCATTTAAAATCACGATCGGCGATACGAGCCTATTTGTCGGCATGCAAATCGAGCGCGATCGCAAAGAAAAGAGTTTGTTTATACACCAGAGTGCATACACTAAGCGTGTGATTGAGAGGTTTGGTATGGGCTGTGCGAAGCCAATGAGTGTGCCGTCGAATCCGAGTGTAATTTTGCACCCCATTGTCGAGGGGGAAGAACGAGCGGAAAACGTGCCGTACAGAGAGGCCGTAGGATCACTCATGTTTTTGGCAATTATATCGAGACCCGACATAGCATACGCGGTAAACTCTGTGAGTCGATTTCTGAATAATCACAACAATGATCACTGGCGATCTGTGAAGCAAATATTTGCGTATTTGTCCGGAACGATCGAGTACGGAATCAAGTTTCGTGGCGGTGGAAGCGTGCCAAAATTAGTCGGATATTCGGATGCCGACTACGCAAGCGATCTCGAAACGAGGAGATCAACGACAGGTTATGTTTTCCAACTCGCCGGTGGTCCCGTTACATGGTCGAGCCAACGTCAAAAGTTGGTAACATTGAGCACGACAGAGTCGGAATACGTTGCTGCGTCGGCAGCGTCAAAAGAAGCGATATGGCTGCGAAGGCTATTAGATGGTATCGGACATCCATGTGATAACGAGACTGTGATTTTTGTAGACAATATTAGTGCGATAAAGTTAGTTAAAAATCCTGAGTTTCACAAACGTACAAAGCACATAGATGTCCGTTATCATTTTATACGCGAAAAAATAGAGTCAAGAGAACTAAAGGTCGAGTACTTGTGTACAGAAAACCAAAAAGCGGATATTTTTACGAAGGCACTTCCGAGAGAGCGTTTTTGTATGTTGCGTAAAAGTGTAGGTGTGATAGAGCGTATGACACGCAGAAACGGTGGAAGTGTTGGAAATGTTTCATGCGTGTCTCCCGCCTTTCGGAGAAAAGCGAGAGATCTTATTGGGCACTCGCGCCGGAGCGAGCGGGAGAGTGTGTGAGGGAAAAAGAACGAGCAGCTAGAGACCGCGCGATCGGTGGGTAAGCAGTTGTCGTCCGTGAGCGTCTGTCTCTGTGCAGTTGTCGAGCTGAGTACATGTGCACTAGAACGTGACAACAAGATTGTTAAAAGAGAAGGGAAATAAAGAAAGTATTTTGACAAGATTGTTCTTCTTTCACAATCGTGATCCTATCTGCTGTGTCAATACTATCACAAAAATAAAATGGCTGTAGATTAGACTTCGGTTTTTGGTGACCTGAAGTAGACCGCCTATAACTTTGATGTAAATGCGCACTACTCGATTTACAACCATTATTTGTCAATCTCAACTTGACATATGCCATGTCGTTGGTAATGGACATATATCTCGTAATAAAAAAATTTTTTTAATGTTTAAAAAATCGTGTTCGAAGAATTCAAAGAGTTCGTGTTCAGCAACTGTTCCTATTCCTGTTGCTATTGTTTCTGCTCCTCTTCCCATTTCTGTTTCTGCTTCTATTCTTGAATTTCATAATGATAATCAGATGACTACAATTGGAGTTCTATTTGCTAAAAATTTTTCTTAGAATATTTTTAGAATTATATATAATAATTTGGGAATTTTATATATAATTTGGGAATATCTTTGTAAATTTTAGAATTATTCAAAATTTCTGTATTACTATATTTTTATATTCTGAAAAAAAAACTTAAAAAATCTAAAAAAAAATTAAGATTTTTTTTTCTGAAATCTTCATAAATTTAAAATGTGATACTTTTTTTTAAATATTTTGAGATATTATAAATTTAAAATATGATATTTTTCTTAAATATTTTGAGATATTATAGCAACTTTTTCACTACTAGATGAACAAAGAATGCTCGTATGAATCTTTGAAAAATGCAAATTTGAGAAAAATGAAAAGATCGAACTGGACGGATATGAAAACGACAATTTTTATTGAATTATGTATCGAAAAACGAATAATCCAAATTAATGGACGAAAAGCGCCATATAGATATATATAAATCATTAGAACTTAAAATGAAAGGAATGGGTTTTATTAAAACCGACGTACAAATGAAAACCAAATAAAAACATTTTTAAAAAATGTACTTTACATGTATAAACGCAACAATAGCATGAGCGGTGCCGAACGTATGACCTTTCCATATTACGATGTGATGGAACAACTTCTTGGCGGAAGATCTAGATCTTGACAAATGTTATCCAGGTCATGATCCTAAACAACATTTAAGAGGTTTTAGTCGTCGGTCGGACACCTTGGATAATACTAATACCGGCGGTGCTGTAACTTGCAAGCCTTATAACTCAAAAAGTACTTAATAAAAATGAACTTAATTATAGTGTTTTGGAAAACTCTCGAGTTATGCTACAAGAATATGCAATAAAAAAATAAGGCGTTCTATTAAAAAAATTAAAAGTGATCTTTATGTGACCTTTATATAATTATTCAAGGTCAAACTAATGACACCTTCTTATGTTCCCCTCAAAACTATATAACTTTTGTCTGAAACATTTTTCACTATCTTGCTTACCTGACGAGATATTCGTGTGGAGGGATTAAAATGGCCCACCCTGTATATATATATATATATATATATATATATATATATACATAAAAATTTTCACTTTTTACGTTTCCGTCCGAGAGAAAAAGTTACATGATCGATACTCTGTTTAATTTCTGCCACCAATCTAATGATATAAAATCTTCAACAGATATTGACGACAGAATAGGAGCAGAATGCGACAGTTAACGTTAATCTACAGGGTGGTCCAAAAGTCCGTTAACATGTCATACGATGATAAAAAAGAAACTAGTTATATGTAAGAAAAAATGTTTATTTATTCTGAAAGTACACAATTTGGGATTTTATTTCTTAAAAATAACATCGTCCATATGCGATCCTTCATTATTTTGACACTGCTGCAACCTGGAGCAGAAATTTTCAATGACCGACTGACAAGTGTTTCGGGAAATGTTTTGCATTTCCTCGCGAATACGAGCCTTTAATTCCTCAAGAGTCGCTGGATTGCTGTTAAAGACTTTACTTTTAAGGTATCCCCAAAGGAAAAAATCCATTGGGGATAAGTCCGGGCTACGAGGTGGCCAGTTAATGTCACCTCTTTTGGATATAACTTTTTGACCGAAAATTTCGCGAACTGCACTTAAAGAGTCGTTGGAAATGTGGCATGTTGCCCCATCTTGCTGAAACCACGATCGTTGATTGAAACCATCAAAATCCTGAAGCGCTGGAGCAAAAAAGTTCTGTAGCATGGCAATATACCGCTCTGTATTCACTGTAACAGCGTTTCCTCTTTGATCTTCATAAAAATATGGACCAATAATGCCTCTTGCTGATAAAGCTGCCCATACAGTAACCTTGGGCGAATGCAGGGGTTTTTGATGCTTCAATTTCGGATTAGTGTCACTCCAATATCTGCAGTTTTGTCTGTTTACATGTCCATTTAGGTGAAAGTGGGCTTCGTCTGAAAAAAAAATATTGTTAAAGCTGGCGAACCTCTCTAGCATTTCGTTAGCAAACTGCAGCCTGTGAGCATAATCTTGAGGCTTTAACTGCTGAACCATTTGGATTTTGTACGGATGCAAATGTAAATCCTTGTGTAGAATGCGGTTTAAAAATGTTTTGGATACGTTTAAGACGCTAGACCGCTTTCGAGTAGAGAGTCCAGGTTGTTCACGAACAGACGCTCTAACACGGTCGCTCTATGTTGTTGGGATCCCGTGATGTTCTAGATCGGCCAGATCGTGGTTTATCTATTGTTGAACCAGTTTCTTCAAATTTCTGGACCCATTTTTTAATCGACTGAATCGATGGAGCTTTATTTTTATGCCGTATATTGTAATGAGCGCAAAATTTTCGTTGCGCTACAGTCGAAGAATCGTTGTTTCGATAGTACTCGCGTACGCAGAACGCACGTTGTTTCTCGTTGAATGACGCCATGGCACTAAATTCCCATCGACCGCTCTAACATTCCGTACCTCGCCCGCCCCACCTCTCCCTCACTGCTCGACGCAGCTGCCGATTCAAATGTTAACGGACTTTTGGACCACCCTGTACTAACATTTTCTAATAAAATTTGCAACCAATCTGTTGACATTCTGCTAACATTTTACTATCTGAATTAGATATTTATATTTTTCTAGGTACTATTATATAATTATTACACTAATCGATCAACTCATTCTTACTCTATTCTGTTCTAGTACGAAGGGTACAACATCAACACAACAGTTGTATGTCCTTATTTTATCCGCAGTACCGGCATGTTCGATGATGTTCAATCAAGGTAGAGGAGATTTCGATATTTATAATAATACAATGAATATATGAAATTACTCAATATTTTAGAAATCCCCGAAAATTTTTTAGAAGCTATTATTTTAGAAATAAATATATTATTATTTATATTTTTTCTAATGTAAATGTAAATAAATTAGCTTACTACATGTATGAAAGTATATACAATATTCAAACTTTAGATACATCCCGACTCTAAGTCCAAATGCTGTAGCCGATAGAATAATAATGGCGATGAGGTGTAACGAAAAGTATGCCATCATTCCAGGCTACTTACAAATTTTGCTTACTTTAAAGTGGTAAGTAAATTTGTTATTTATTCATTATTTCGTTATTTTATCGCTTATATGAAAAAAATTGCATAATCGTTAATAAAACGCAGGATATTTCCATGGCCATGTGTCGCCATGTTTCTTCGTGGATTAGTAAGAGACGCTTCGCCAAGCCATGAAAATAACAAATCATATGTAGTTGCGACTGCGACTATCGCGGAAAAGGAATGTATCGTACCGTCATCAAAGGATCAAAACGTCGCTGCCATTCATCAACAATTAGCTAGACGTATCTCTAGCCCCGAAAGAAAACCTTGAACTTTTCTTACTCCGTCTCGGTTTTAATATCGATCTAGAATGTTAAAATTTTGTTAAAAGGTTAGAGTTTTCTGTCTTCCTACTATGTCTACCTTGCAGCTCTTCATATGTTTCAATCTTTTACATTGTTTTAATGAAATAAATCGCTTAATATGTTTCTAGTGTCAGTGTTGAATAAAAATACTACCCATTTCGACGAGTAGAATTGCGCAGAGTTTCTCTTTTTTCAAGTTTCTTATAGCTGCGCCTTCAGTAATCGATTATTCGCAGGAAGAAAAGGAAATGTGAAGAAAGTGCATCTCAATCTATTAAAAAATTGGATAACATCTTTGTTCTTGATGTATGACCTAGCATAATGCAAGGAGTTTCCACATAGAGGAGAGTTGCTGAATGCGTACTACTTCTGAGGAAAAAAGATTAGATCTGCCGAGATATGATTATGTCTAGGTTCAACAAATCTGGTCAGATATAACTCCGATAAAAAATTTTGTCATATACAGGGTATTTCATACTTACTGGATCGCCTTTCGTGAGGAAATAGAACGGATTAGACTGAGTAAAAAATTATCTACAATTTTCACAATAACTAACGAAATATTAATTTCTAAAAATTGCCAAATAAATACTATTATAGTATTCACTTAGCTCACCACCAAATGCAAGCACGCAACACGATACAACATACAACTGCCTAGCGCGGGGAGATGTTTTTTTTCGCTGTTCGTGCATTGCCAAGGCCGCTTGTAGTAAACAACTCGCATGTCTAGCAACCTAGGACGGTGAGCCGTCTTACAGTAGAGTCTCTTTAAATTTGGCCCCATGAAGCGATGAGAGTGGAATGTCAAAATTATAGTGTATCCTCTTTACAGCACGAGTCTACCAATCACCACGTAGAAGAAAGTGGGAGAATTGTGCGCATCCTGGTTTGGTACTTTTCCAATTGATGAAAACATCATTGTGGTGAAATTTTTACGCAAGAAGTTGTCCTCTTAAGATATAACTACAAAAGATACGACGCAAATACATTTGCTAGCCAGAGAAATACAAAAAAGTGAAATCATCTTTTCTTGTTATTTTAGCTTTCAAAAAATAAGATGGTAAGTCCGTATTTTTAATTTGTTTGTTTGCATATGTTAAAGTTGCATACGTTATTAAAGTATGTTATTATGTGTATTTTTTGAGCTGTTATTTATTAAGTTTGATTATAGGAATTGTTGAAGTAATCGTATTTCGAGTCAGGTCGCGGTGGACAACTGTGCACAAGCGTTTCAAAATGCGCACAATTACCCATCTTCCATATACTATATGATTAGCATTAATTTTTTTTGTTACTTCTTGGCATTATTATTTTATTTTGCCAAAGTCTATGTGCATTATTATTATATTAGTTATGTATTTTTTCTTAATATATACAATATATATTTAAAATATATTTAATATAGTATATTATAATATAATGAATATATTTTTTGATTTCTTTGTCAACATTCCATAATTCATTCCACATTTCTTATAACTTTTGTTTTGTGTACAATTATCACACACGCGCACAATTAACCGACGCTCGAGAAATTCGTACGTTACGGAGAAAATCAGTGAAATTTAGTGAAAAATAACTTGAAGTGAAAATAACGTGAAGTTCTCTGGATCATAGCGGATCGACTAAAAAGGTATATCATTCCATAGTGAAAAAGTAATTACGTTTCATTATTCTTTTGAGAAATTAGCTTCGAGGATGAAAAAAAACAAGTGTGTACAAGTTTTTCATAAATCTTGGAAATTTAATTACTTTTTTAGTTACATTTCAGATCGAATAATTGGTTTACTTTGCTGTTTTCAACCTTCGGTAGTTAAAAAATATGTGTTAGAGAAGTATTTCAAAACTCGTCATTCGGTAAATTATTTAAATTACTCAAATTCAGAAAAATTGAATGTTATAGAACGGTTAAAATTAGTTTATCAAGAAAATTCAATACCTTCTTTTTCTTGTTCTTCTCAAAAATCCCTACAAGCCTCTTACTCAGTTTCTTTGCTTATAGCACAAATTCTAAGCCATTCACCGAAGGTATTTTTGTGAAAAATTGTATTATTGAAGCAGTAAAAGCTTTTGGCAATTCCTTAACTCTGGAGCAATGAACATTCGTCTTAGTGCAAGAACTGTAACATCAAGAATTGCTGATATCAATGATTCCATAACAGATAAATTACAAAACTTTTTGAAATGTAAATATTTTTCTTGGTGCCTTGACGAAAGCACTGATATTCGACATATGAGTCAACTTAGTATTTTTACTCGAATTGTACAAGACGATTATTCATGTGTCGAGGAACTTTTAGATTTTGTCGTATTATGTATTACGTAACACAACGACAGGACTCGATATTTTTTTGGCAATTGAAGAAACTTTTAAAAAATTTGACATAGATTTTAGTAAATGTTCTTCAATTACGACTGATGGCGCGAAAGCTATGACAAGTTTAAAGAAAGGATTCGCCGGTCAATTAAAGCAACGAAATTTAAATATCCCCATTATTCACTGCATAATATATCAGGAAGCATTAGCCGGTAAAGTTGTAAAACTTTCAACAGCTATAGAGACTATCACTAAAATAATTAATGAAATTAAAGATGGATATAAGTTCCTTACTCACCGAAAATTTAAATTATTTCTTGATAAACATAAAGCTGTTTACACAGGTGTCGCACTTCATTGTCCACTTCGTTGGCTTAGTGCTGTAAAATGAAATTTATGAAATATTTAGAAATATTTTTTGTGATAAGAAAAGTTCTCCTTTTCCTGAAAGAAATGAACAACTTAAAATTTCACGAATATATATCTCTTTTGGAAGATGTAACATTTCTTACTGAACTCACTTTTATTACTGATATGAGTAATCAAGTCGTGAGTAGTCAATCACTTAGACTTCTTAATTTAAAACTGCAAAAGACGAATCAAAATATTTCGAATTAGTGAGTCACGTTGATTCTTTCCGAAGAAAATTGCAGATATTAAAATCTCATATAAATGATAATATTTTTTTTTTCTTCTTGTCAAATTCTTCTCAAAGAACATGACAATAATTGCAATTTCAAAGAATACATTCATTTTCTAGATTCTCTTATAGACGAATTTAATACACGGTTTACTTGCTTCGAAAAACTCAGAACTGAATTAATTCTTTTCAAGAATCCCTTTACAGCGCCAATTGAAGGACAGCATCTTGACTTGCAAGATGAATTATGTAATTTGCAGAACGATATTGCACTTAAAACGGTTAAAGAAACTGGTGCCGATTTTTATAAAATATTGAAAGAATCATTATATCCCAATCTTCGAGATTTCGGACTTCGAATTTATTTCATGTTCGGATCTACATATTTATGTGACACATCTTTTTCAAAAATAAAGCTTATAAAAAATGAGAGACGTTCTACCTTAAGCAATGATTCTTTGCCTCGTCTTATGGGGCTCGCTACGTGTAATACGCAAATCGACGTTTCTGATCTCGCCAATAAAAGATTCCGAAAATTGGAATAAGTATTTTTTATTTTACTTTATTTGTATTTAATTACTTGGTCGTACAATTCTTCATTTTTATCAGTGGATTAGGCCTATTAGGAGGATACCACTTAAAAAAAAAACGCGTAAAATAGTATCTCAAAGGTGGAAAACTATTGAAAATTCATTGGATGTATTTGTTTTGAGCGCTTACCTGTTGATTCATTCTGTCTTAATTATATAATGAGCGAAAAAAAGATAGAATAAAGTTTACAGCGTGAACACTCAAAGCGAACGCCCCGTGCACTTCATGTCTTTGAACGTTAGACGCTCCTAAACGTCGAGCGGCATTTGGACTGCGCGTGGGGCGAGCGGTGAGAGGAGTAGCGGGAGGCGGAGCCTCTCGAAAATCAGCCGAGAAGTGCAAATTTTGCCGAGCCCTAGAATACACTGTGAGAATCCAGTATAATTAGTGCAACACATGTTCAGCTTATTATGACATGGAAGGGGCAAAATTAGTATGTGTAAGGAATGTAAAGATTCCAATTCCAGAAGTCAAACTTAGGGAGACTCTACTGTACCACGTAGCGCTTGTATTGGTGGTAGCCAGTGTTATTTACCGACTTTTAGATTTAATATCTTGTTAACTAAAATGCGAAAATTGTAAAATAGTACAAGACTTTTTTACTTACAAGGGAATTAGTTACCTAGATGTCCAATTTTGAGAAAGCGATGGCTAGTTATAGTATTCTACCTTTTATTAACTAAAATGTGTGCCATTCGCTCAAAAAATTTGATATTTGTTAGAAAAATAAATTTAAAGTCGTGTCTCCGAAAATGAGTTTAAATGACATTTTTTAATAACTTTTTTACTTTTGGGTTTTTCTACATTATACGTATGAGTAATATATGTAAGTAGAATTGAAAAGAAAATTTCGACCTTGATTGCAATGGTGGATGTTGAACATTTTTTTTATCTATCCTTCTCGAAATTTGAATTGCGTTTGGATATGCTACACTTATAAAGTTGTATATGTACTTATATAAGAATGTATGTAAGTATAAAAGTACATATATTTTTTTACTTATTATACATTTTCATTGCATTCCTGTTATTTTAATTCGTAACATAATTGTTTGATCTATATAATGTAATTATAAAATTTTATTCTTTAATTGCGCACCGCGTGTATGTGTATGTGTGTGTATGTACATTATGGATAGTAATGTATAATAAGAAAATATATGTACTTTTATGGTATACGTACAATACATTTATACAACGTATGTTGTACTTTATATAATTAATGAATCCAGTTTTTGATATTGCTAAAATAAATATTATTTATTAGCATCATAATTCAGAATTTACAAGGCAAAATTAAAATTAAAAAATGTTTTCTCCTAAAATGGGGAATTTTATGATGTTTCTAAGCGATCATTCATCATAAATTATACCACATCTAACGCTGCTTTACTTCTCCCTGCTCAAGAAAATAAATAGAATCTGATAAGAAAACTTTTTATCAAATTGAATTTGGATTCCAGTTTTTTGTATCCACCACCATGAAATCCAGATACAGAACCTTCATCACAGTATGTAATAAAAGAGGTATTCGTGATTAATGAAAATAGATCCTGAATTTCAGTTATACATTTCGTATCAGATTGAATATCGTATTTCACATTGTTTAAATATTAATATACATATATTCCAATGTCGAGATTCATGATTTTTAAAACCGCTTGTTTTAATACGATATTCATATACTCCTTCCTATCTAGATATACCATATTTATATTAATAAAAAGTTATTTATTTATATCAGTATTTATCATATTACAATAAATAGAGGATTTGGTTCAAATTTTTCATATTTGTGATCGTACAAATCAGATATATAGAATCTTTTATTTGACTACTCCTATCTTGACTACTATCAAGAAGTGTTGAATAAGGAAATCCTAATTAATTTTTGTAAATGTCTTATAGTGTTCTAACTCGTTTTTTTAACAATATAATACTGTATCTGATCGAATATTGATTGTCCGACGACTGTTATCATGTTAATTTATCAGAAAATTTAGATTCGTGCAAGTATTGTAAGAAATAAGCGATGAGAAAAATATTAGGGCGTTCCAGGATTTGAACTGAGGCCTGATCTCCTTCATAACTAGACTTCATCAAGTAGACTTTCTAAAGTCATACAGTGACGCTGATAGCTTCTCAGTTGTGCCTATTTTCTCTAAATTTCTTACAAATTTCTTATCGTGTCCTAAATCGTTTTCTCGAGAAACTATCACTGCATCTCATTGAATACTGACTGTCTGATGATTTCTATCATGTTGAATCCGAAAATCCTGTATGTGAATGCTTGACAGCTGGTTTTTATACATAGGTTTCTGTTTATTCTATTTTTGTTGTTTGCCAGTAATGACAAATAGGTCTTTGTAGGATTACTTTCAGCTAATCTTCTATATACGAGCTCTAACGCTCGTCAAACATTAATCTAATTTATATTAAATAATAATTTATAGGAATTGATCAATTAATGTTTGATAAATGCAAATACAAATATTATACAGCATTTTAACGC